TGCAAGGAGGTTGTCTGACTGCCCCCGAAAGGTCCCAGATTGGAGAGGGTACAAGCTGGGCTGAGGGACACCCCCCTCCCCCCGTGCACGAATTTTGTGCACCTGGCCACTAGTTCACATATAAGAAACTTAACTCCCTAGTCACATAAGTATATGTGTTCTAAGATTTAAAAATAATAGGCTTGTTTTTCAGATGAATTCAGATGCTTTATCTATCAGATTATATGTCCCTTCTTCCCCCCATCAGTTTCAACCTTCTTTCTCTGGCATTCATTCAACTGTTCCACAAATATCCCAGCTCCTTGTATGTGCTGGCCACTGTGCCGGGGAGAGAGCCGTAGGCAAAAGTAGACACGGTCCCCCACCTGCTGCCGCTAGTGGTCTCGTGGGACTGACAAACGGATCCAGGCACCACACCAACACACACCCAGCCACATCCAAGCGCATGGCCCAGAGGCCAGAACGCAGTCCTGTGAGCGTGGACGGCGCAGGCTTGAGGCGGGCGAGTGCTAGCAGGTCCCTCCCCATCTGTTTCCCGTCTTCTAGTTATCAATTGGTTCCATATTTGGGAGAGAAAAAAAGCATTATTTATCGACTGCTGTTCCCCACTCCCTGTCCCCCTCTCTCCCCCCAGCACCTGTAGGACACATCTTGAGAGTATTTTCTCCAGTTAAGGCTTTGTGGTCCTAAATCAGCTCCTCTAACCAAATGCAGGTGGAGGCATCTTGAACACCAGGGTCCGTGCCCAGTGCCGGCCTCGCTCCTTTGCTCAGGAGGCAAGAGGGCCTGAGCGGGAAGCCTGGTGCCCTCGTTGCCCCGGCATCGCGCCTGCAGTGGATGCCCAGGGCATGCGCAGTTCTGCACACAGCCTGCTTGGGCACCACCCAGACCTCCTCCTTTCCCAGGAGCCTGCAGCCCCTCGCCTCTGCCGCTTCAATGCAGACACTTGGGACACGGTGTCTCCGGCAAATGCTCCAGAGTTCACATGGGCCTCCAAGAGTCCAGACTCACCTCCTCTCTGCTGCCCAGTGCGTCCTCCCTGCCCACTTACCCAAAGGCACTAAGTACATGGCCACTCAAGGGCACTGAAGGTGTAGAACAGGGGTGGGGAACGTCCGGCCCACAGGCCGCCATAGGCCTGCAAAGTCATTTGGTCTGGACCGGCCAAGGCATTAGGGGTGAGTTAATGAAATATAACAGGCTAATTAAAAACATATATATCTTGCCCTGACCGGTTTGGCTCAGTGGATAGAGCATCGGCCTGCGGACTGAAAGGTCCCAGGTTTGATTCCAGTCAAGGGCATGTACCTGGGTTGCGGGCACATCCCCAGTAGGGGGTGTGCAGGAGGCAGCTGATCAATGTTTCTCTCTCAGGCTAATTTTTAAGTTGATCGTCTTGTGTGGCCCCGAATGATGTTACGAATATGCAAATGGCCCTTGTTTCTAACTCTCTATCCTTCTCCCTTCCTCTCTGTAAAAAATCAATAAAATATATTTAAAAAAATAAAAATAAAAAAATATATCTTTGCTGTTGAAAGTATTGCATATGTTCCCTCTTTTCCCCCCCATTAACTCCCTCCAGCCCACCCAAACCTCCCACCCCAGGCACTCACCACCCTACTGTCTGTGACCATGGGTTATGCATCTATGCATAAAGGTCTTTGGTTGATTACCTCCCACACAACCCACCCTCCCCCATCTTCCCTTCAAGATTCTGCCCTCTGTTCCATGTTTCCTTGTCTCTGGATCCCCTCTGTTTATCCGTTTATTTCTTAGATTCCACATATGAGTGAGATCATGTGATACTTGTGTTTCTCTGACTGACTTATTTCACTTAGCGTGATATCCTCCAGGTCCCTCCATGCTGTCTTGGAGGGTAAGAGATCTCTCTGTTTTACTGCTGCATAGTATCCCATGGTGTAAATGTACCACAACTTTTCTATCCACCCGTCCACTGATGGGCACGTGGCAGGCTAATTTTTAAGTTGATCGTCTTGTGTGGCCCCGAATGATGTTATGAATATGCAAATGGCCCTTGTCAGGAAGAGGCTCCCTGCCTGGTGTAGAAAGACCCTTCCCTTGCCGCTGGATCCTGCCTCAGCAGGCGTCAGCAGGCCCTCCTTGTTCTGACAGCAGAGATGGGGCTGGCATTACAGGCAGCCACTGCTCTGGGCACAGCAGCTGCAGGGGGAGGAGAGTGAGACAGGGCCCCTGCGTGGGACAAACCGCCTCTCGTGTGTTCATCGGAGTCACTAGGTGGAGACGGGGTAGGAATCGCACCGAAGCCTTGAGAGGGAGGGCCTGGATCACAGTGACTTTGGGTCCCTTTGCTAGCCCGCATTTTGGTGACTAGTTGTATGCGGGAGGGACTATGGGCTGACTGACAGGTGTCAAGGCTGCATCCATGTGGAAGTGGATTCTTTAAAAAAAAAAAATTTCTACTAGCGGTCCGGTGCATGACATTTGTGCACGGGTAGGGTCCTTAGGCCTGGTTGGCGATCAGGGCCAATCAAGCCTTCCAGCTGCTGCCCTGGGCCTTCCTTCATTTCACGCCACCCCCTGGTGGTCAGTGCACGTCATAGTGAGCGATCAAACTCCCGGTCTCCTGGCTGA